CTAAAATTTGATGCCAAGCCGTATTGTTCGAATTCCTTAAGGAGGTTAGGTATTGTTGTTCTGGGCTGTCTCACAAAAAAGAGAATGTCATCAGTATATGCCGCTATCTTGTGTTCATTTCCCTGGACCTCGATACCTTTGATGTTAACGTTATTCCTAATATGAGATGAGCATGGGCTCTAGGGATAATACAAATAAAAGTGGTGATAAAGGGCATCCATTGTAAAGTTCAAAAACTTGGGAGAGACTACCATTAATCTTAATTTGTGCCGTGGGTTTATTATAAAGTGTCTTAATTGCGTGTAATATTCTTGGGCCTAGCCCAAAGTGTTCTAGCGTGATGTTTAGGAAATCCCAATCAACTCTATCGAACGCTTTTTCAGCGTCGGTTGAGAGAATCATAGTCGACAGAGTGGAAAAAGATACATGATTAACCAGTGTCAGTGCCCGTTGTCTCTATCCTCCCTGCCCGGTATGAACCCGGTTTGGTCTGCTGAGATAAGATGGGATAATAAAGGAGCCAATCGGTTGGCTAAGATTTTTGCATATAGCTTTATGTCAGCATTTAATAAAGAAATAGGCCTATAGCTGCTACAGATGCTTGGGTCCTTGCCGGGTTTAGGAAAGACTGAGATATGTGCATGTAATGTGGTAGTTTCGGGGGGTCTACCAGTGAGGAAGGTATTTAGGTATGTGCATAGGTAGGGTATGAGTATAGTTTGGAAGGATTTATAATATTTTAGTGAGAACCCGTCTGGCCCAGGGCTTTTTCCCATTGGTGAAGTAGCTATAGCCTCAGTCATTTCCATTTCCGATATTGGTGCTTCTAGGGATATCTTTGTAGTCTGGTCAATTTGAGGGAGGCTAAGGTTGGCTAAGTACTTACGAATAAAGTTGTCATGTCGTTTTTCAAGCTGTTTAGTTGGGTTAGTTCTCACATTATATAGTTTAGCGTAGTATTCCTTAAAGGATTGGGCTATCTCCTTCGTGGAATATGTGATAGAGTCAGTTGCGTTCTTGATTTTAGAAATAAATCCAGCATTTTGGCGTGCCCGCGGAATACGGGCTAGTGGCCTGCCTGGCTTATTTCCAAATTCATAAGTCTGTTGGGACATATAATTCATTGATCTAGTATAGTTAACTTGTAGTACCTTACGTAGCTCTTCACGTGCTTCAGATAGTTCCTGTCGGCAAGCTTCTGCTAGGGATTGTTTATGTGCTCGTTCTAGGGTGGTTATTTTGTGCGGCAATTCTGTGATTTTCTGAGTGCGTTCCTTTTTTTTGCGTGCACCTAGTGCTATAAATTTCCCCCCTATCGTTGCCTTATGGGCTTCCCATAGTATCCCTGGGGAGATAGATTCCGTCTCGTTTTCCTTAAAATATAAGGTAAGGTCTTCTTTTATAGTTTGTTCGCTTTTTGGGTCAGCCAATAGCTGTTCATTAAGTCTCCATCTATATGGGGTTCTAATCTCGCCAGGTCTCTCCAGGCTCATAGATATGGGGGCATGGTCCGATATCGTGGCAGTGTGTATATTCGCTTCCCGTAGTAAGTCCAAGTGTCTATGTTCTATAAATATAGAATCTATACGTGCGTACATATTATGTGCTGGTGAGTAGATTGTGTAGTTTTTATCGTATGGGTGTAATATGCGCCAAGTATCCATAAGTTGTAGTTTATGAAACTGTTTTGAGTTTAGAGATTTGTCTATATGTTATGTGTGATCGGCCAGAAGAGGTATCTAGTAAAGGGTCTATATGGACATTGAGGTCCCCCGCAAGTATAGTTATACCTGCCTGAAAGTCTATCAGGGAATTTATTATTTGATTTAAATACGTGACCTGGGATTGATTTGGGCCGTATACATTTGCAAGGGTATAAATCTGCTGCCCTATCTCCACCCGTATGAATATATATTTCCCGGCAGAGTCCGTTTTCATTCCAAGTTGACTGGCAAGCGTCTATGGAATCCGATAGCTACCCCGCATTGTTTGCTAGATGGTGACGTACTATAGTACCATACTGGGTAATGTCGTGAATGCAATTTAATTTGCGAGGTATGGGCTATATGTGTTTCTTGGAGGAACACTATGTCTCCGTCTAATATTTTCAGTTCCCTATATAGAGCGTGTCATTTAGCGGGGGTATTAAGCCCCCGTACATTATAGCTGATTAATTTGATATCCGCCATTTGAAGGTACCCAATCCGCCCCTTTCCCATGGCGGCTTCTGAGACTTTCTTCCTGCCTGTCATTTATGACCAGGTATTGGTGATGGGGTATGGAGGGGGGGAGGGGAAGGGGAACACTGGGGTATTATGGTTATACGAATTAGAAAAAAACATACATATAAAAATTGTGAAGAATCGGGGCAAAGGTCCCCCGTCTTGGTCTTCAGTGTTATATATCACGATACACTGAGGTATTACTTTACTTAAACCGGTTCTCTTAGAACCATATCTATACCTTGCGGGTTGCATGGCAGGATCATCTAGGGTGCTGCCAGTTATAGCAGGTATTAAGCAGTCTATGGTGCCAGAGCCCCTTATTGTCTCCATGGCTGCCAAGACCGGCACATACCCGCAAAATTCGCTTAGTTAGTATTTGCATCCTTATATCCAAATGTATGAATAAGCATATTTACCAACGTCTCGTTATTAGTCCATCCCGTAATCAGCCTGAGGGAGAGGTCTTTTTGTAGCTTGTTCCACTGTCCCATTTCTTATTGAGCCAACGGTAAAGCAGCACCCACTGTCTTCCATTGTGGATCTTGCAGTGGTGGAAAAATCTGTAGTATGTCGCTCCAATCGGGTAGCTTCGGGGCTTTTACCTGCAGGCTCTCGCAGAAGGCCTCCAGTTCTTCTGGGAAGCGGAGAATTGATGTCTTGCCGTGTCTCTTAGCTATTAAGCAGGCCGGGAACCCCCACCAGTATTGGATGTCTTTGGAGTGAAGCAGGTCCAGAAGCGGGCGCAAAGCCCTACGTCTATTAAGAGTCTCTTTGGCCAGGTCAGAAAAAATTTGTAAGTGTGCCCCATTATGTTCTACATGCGGTCTCTCTCGCAGTTTTATCATGATTATTTCTTTGTCCGTATGGTAGTGCAGTCGGCATATCACATCTCTAGGTATATCAACTTGCACCCCCCCCACAGAATCCCCCGCGTGCGGGGGATTCTGTGTACCCTGTCGAGTAGAAGCGGTGTAGAAGGAGTCCTGCCCATTATAGGGTTAAAGGTATCCCTCAAGGTGGCCGCTAGGTCTACGTCCATTATCGCCTCAGGGAGCCCTCTTACCCGCAAGTTGTTACGGCGGCCACGGTTGTCCTGCTCTTCCATGCGGTATGCGAGATCCCTCTGTATCTTGACTGCCGTTTGGAGCTGGGTTTGCAGAGTTGTAATGGCAGCAGCGTGCGCATCCAATCGGCTCTCGGTTTCTTCCACTCTATGGAGGAGGTGTGTGACCTCACTTCTAAGCGACAGTATCTCCACTTTCAGGGAGCTTTCAAGAGTGCGGAGCATGTCAGCTAGGTCTTGCTTGGTGGGGAGGGCACGCATCCACTCGTCCGTCGGCACTCCGCTCCTCTGTTCCAGCTCGTCGCCTGGCTCAGAGCGGAGGTATGACGTCTCCGGTCTCCGTTGAGAGGAATGCGGTGAGTATACGGCTTGTGTGCCGGTCTGGTTCGCACTGTGCGATGTATTCAAGCTCGAACGGTCCGAGGCCATGTATTTTTTAATGTCTGCAGAGGCTTTAGATGCCCCGCTTCGCATGCTTTTCTTGTTTGTGCTCATGTTCAGGGGTTTAAGGCTGTGCTTCGGTCTGAGTCCGGGATGCTAGCGTTGCGGGTGGTGTGCACGGAGCTCTAACAAGCACGTCCGCACCTGTTCATGTCCCAGACACGCCCCCTCATACTACCATGTCCCTGATTTCTAGTGCATATAGAGACAGATTTATTATCCTAGTTTATGTTTCGTTCCTAAATGCCTTCATAAGGAGACCTGTCTCTAAATTGTTGCAAACTTGCTGGGAAACTTTTGGAGGACAGCTAAATAGCCCTGAAGTGCTTAGCTGACTTGAGGGTATGAAGCTGAATTATCTTTGCAATACTTAAAGAAATGCTCAGGAGCACTTTTAGAACGCGTGACAGTTCAAAGGTCTTTTAATGTCGCAAATGCTGGATACAAACACTGCACAGTTTAGAAATTATGCGAAATGTTGCAGAACATGTGCAGAGAGTCGCAAACATTAAAGAAGAACTCCAGGCAGAATAAAACGTAACCCTTGCAGTGGGGCTACCCCCACACTTCAAGGGTTAAGTGCTCATTTTGGTCTAGGGTGTAAAATAAAAATGATATACTCAACCGGACCTCAGTCTTGCCTGGCTGCTAGACCGGCCCCACACAGCTTCTCTCCCCCTCCTGACCAGAGTTCTTATTTAAATTGTTTGTCTTAACCCTCTGTCACTTTTGCTGGACATTCTATTTAATGAAAGCTGAAAAAAAAATGTACTGGCCAGATCACCATGAGAAAATGAAGGAGAGAAAAGAAAAACTAAAAGAAAACTACCAAGAACCACCACATTTTGCAATATTGAACGCTTTGCTTTTGGGTTAACATAATTCTTCTATGGGGACTGGAGATACCCTGTAGGATCCTCCCACTGAAGCTATAGAGCTCAAAGAGTGGAGGGGGCAAGAGAGGCTGCGGGGACCTAGCAGCCAGACAGCACAGAGGTTTAGGTGAGTATAACTGTTTTTTTAGACCCTAGACCAAAACCACCACTCAAACACTGGTGTTCTCCTTTAAGATGTCACACGGACACTTAAAAAAGGCGCATAACAGAGATAAACGGTGCACTTAGGTAGCATGACATTTTGTTTTTTGCAACTAAAACTTCCTAAATTCCCCCCACTATATGGCCCTAGCACTGCTCTTTAAAAAGCACATAGTGACGTCTACCAAAAATGTTAAATGGCAAAGCTATGTTGGGTGTCTGCTTAAGTCTTACCTTAATTGCTTTCCAACCTCCAGATGTTGTGTCCTCATAAGCAACGGTAACTTTCTGACCAACGTTTAAAGGTTCTCGACCAATCACGTCATCATTGGTGAAATAGATCTGATCATTAATCATTCCATAATCACTGCACACACAGGTTACCACTCCATCCGTATATCTTACTAGTTCAAAATCTGTACAGGTAGAAGAACATTATGTGAAGGAATGATTTCACAATTAAACGTTAATGACTTGAGTTATATTTTGCTCTTTCGGTTTTGTACACCCCAATATGCTTCTATTTACTGGGGACTCTGCAGTCGAATTCCCAAGTTCACCTACTTGCTATACATACTACACACAACGGATTGTGGTAGTATCTACTAATTAAAACTTTAAGTAAGTTTTTGATGGATAGGATAAAGGATATGTTTACACACCCATAAAAATGAACTTCAAACAGTGACAGACTGTTGAGTCATTGGGGCTCTAGCTAGGTTCTGCCACACGTGGCATCATTTTCACTAATAATGCTAACAATAAAAGCACTACTAAAAGTATGGGTTTCTGCTAGGGATGCACCGATACTCGTACTCGCCTAAATGCTCCGATACTGGAACCTCTGGTCAGAGGAAGTTTTCTTCTGACCAGCAGTGCCATGAAGGAACATGGAGCTGGCTTCCCGACCAATCAGGAAGCCGGGCCACAGCTAATGACTCCTTGCTGTTTGGCCGGCTCGATGCTGATTGGCGGGGGAAGCCGGCTGCCCAGCCAATCAGTATGGATCCAGCCAGCTCTAGAGCTGCAACAATTATTTGATTAAGTCGATTAAAATCGCCGATGGAAAACGTTGTCAACGTTTTCCATCATCGATTCGTCGGCTAAAATGCAAATTTGCCGCTGCACACCGGCCACTTACGCCACGCCCACGTCGGTTAAGCCGCTCGCGCCACGCCGGTAAACCCGCTCACGTGACGCCGCTTACGCCACGCCCACCACACACGCTGAGGACACGTGTCTGGCCCTCTCCTCCGGGTGAGCTTCCCAACTCGCCGCTGCCCGCCGACAACACAGTCATTCAAGGTAGGTCGAGATCAGCCGGGAGCTTTTAATGTTTCCTGTTTTTTGTTTAAAGCGGCACACTGCAGAACATTAGCAGCTATAGAGGAACACCCAATCCTAGCAATAATACATTAAACACCCTGTATAATGTATTATTGCTGGGATTTGTTGTTCCTCTATAGCTGCTGGTGTTCAGCAGTGTGCCGCTGTATTATACATTCGTATTCTGTAGAGCTGCAACAATTATTAAATCAAGTCGATTAAAATTGACGATGGAAAACGTTGTCAGCGTTTTCCATCGTCGATTCGTCGGCTAAAATGTAAATTTCCCACTCACGTCCGCCTGTTCGCGGCTCCATACACGAGTTACGCTATGCACGCCACGCCCACGCCCACGCCGCGTACCCTACCACCGCACAAGCAGGACACACGCCCGCAGAGCACGTCGCTGCAGCGATTTACAAGGGTTCAGAAACAGCTAAGGGGGACCTGTTTTAATGTTTCCCGTTTAAAAAAAAAAAAAAAAGCGGCACACTGTAAACCAGCAGCAGCTATAGAGGAACAACAAATCCCAGCAATAATATATTAAACAGCCTGTATAATGTATTATTGCTGGGACTTGTTTCTCTATAGCGGGTGGTGTTCTCCAATGTGCTGTATAATGTATTATTGCTGGGATTTGTAGTTCCTCTATAACTGGTCAGTGGTAATGTAATCTGCATTGCGCATTATACAGCGCAATGGAGAATACCACCAGCTATAGAGGACTACAAATCCCAGCAATAATACATTATATACAGCGCAATGCAGAATAACGCCAGCTACAGAGGACTACAAATCCCAGCAATAGTACATTATAGTATAATGTTGTACTATTGCTGGCATTTGTTGTATTCCTATATAGCTGCTGGTATTATGTATTGTGCCGTATAATCATTATACAGCGCACTGCAGAATACCACCAGCTATAGAGGACTACAAATCCCAGCAATAATACATTATATACAGTGCAATGCAGAATAACCCCAGCTACAGAGGACTACAAATCCCAGCAATAGTACATTATGGTATAATGCGCCACTGTATAATGTACTATATTGCACACCACACTCTTTTTTTTACTTCCACCGCGCCAAGCTTTCTCCCGTGATGGACTACAATCTCAATAGAAACTAGTAGTCCATCACTGGAGCCTTTTTTTTTTTAACTGATTAATCGAACGTAATAATCGGCAAACTAATCGATTATGAAAACAATCGTTAGCTGCAGCCCTAGCCGGCTCCATGGGGATTGGCCGCATAGGCTCCATGCTACTGGAAGAACCAGTATGGATACTCTGTATCGGCGAGTACTGAAAGATAAATATCGGTACTCAATACTGAAAAGCTGGTATCGGTGCATCCCTAGTTTCTACATAGAGATTTTAACATTATTTAATACATGTCATCGCTACTCAGTTTATAAGGGAGTCTAAATATTCAGTCTTTAATTATTATAGTAGCCCAGTCTTAAAGAAGAAGTCCACGATTTTTCTTTAGTAACCCTTGCAGTGGGGCTTCCCCCGCAATGCAAGGGTTAACTGCTTGTTTGTGTCTAGGTGCTAAAATTACGAAGCTCTGCAGCATTGAAATCTTCCTCAGCGTCCTCACATCTATACAATGTATATAGACGTTGATGATTTACAGGACCTTAGACTGCTGCAGAGGAGGGGGAGAGACATTGGAAGAACCGGTCTAAGAAGAAGCCAGCTCGGATATTCGTGTGAGTCTAACTTTTTTTTTAAAAGCCTACACACAAATGAGCACTTAACCCTTACAGTGCTCATTTTTGTCCAGGTTCAAAAAAAAAAAAACCCAGATATACTCACCTGAACCCTCCTGGCTGCTAGACCAGTCTCCCCCTCCGCTCAGGCAATGGAATCTCCCTTGTCCTCCTCACGTCCAATACACTGTATTAGACGTGGACTCACAAGCTCTTAGACCACCGGAATGTAGGCAGGGAGGCTGCAGGGAATGGTCTAGCAGCCAGCCAGGAATGTCACAGAGGTATGTGTTGTATACTGTGACAGACATATACAATATATAATGTCAGAGTTGTAATAGGAATATAAAAACTATAGCTGTTTATGATAATGCATCAAAGCTTACTTGGGAAAAAAAAAACCCTGCCTTCCGTTTTTTCCCTTACTTTCAACAACTTCCTGGTTGGTGTGATGCATGGTTGGTGTGATGCAATCTCAAATTTCTCAAGGCCACATAGCCCATAATGCATTGCTTCCAGCAAGCAATGATAATGTTACATTGTTCAGACATTAAGTTGCAGTTCAGAACAGAGGCTTTGTGAGAGTTGTGACACAAGGAAGAGCTTATTCACAGTGCTGAGTGAAATTGTGTCAGTGCATGTACATCTTTTGAGCATCTTCTAGTAAGTGGGACGGATCGCTGAGAACTAGGGACGGAGCAGAGGGCGTGGAGCCATGACGTGGCTGGGGGTCTGCATGTGAATAAACAACCGCTCGGGCAGGGCAGTATTGCAGCAGGAAAACGCACAATCTGCCTGGCATGACTGGGGTGTCATTAGAAAATAATGGCACTGCCAGCGCACACGATTGCACGTCCTGGGAATCCCCAAGTCTGCACCAACCCTAAAGGGTAAATTCACTTTCCCAAGTAATTTGGGAAAATGGAATTACCCGCACAAATCTCCCTCCCACTATACTTACCTTTCGGCAAACGGTCCTTCCCGTCCACCAGTACGGGTGTACTATCTGTACCTTTTCCATGTATTGTGAATTCCGCTCGCAAATTGCAAGCACTCGTTGGTCAACGCGGTCACCTGACGGCACTGACCAATGAGAAGTGCTTCTTAGCACTACTAAATACGGTTTTGGTTAAAATTATTTTTTTCTATCAGGGCAAGTAGATTGTCATGAGGGACAAGTAGTTTTTTCTAAAATTTCCACACCCCTGGCATTCTGAAATCTGAATGCAATGTCCACTAATCCTACAGGGCATTTCTGAAGAGTTTTAAAAACTGATCTTTCAATTCCAGTGGGAACTTAGCCCAAGAGGTAGGATGAAGAGCTACAGCACTATATAATGAAGGGTGGCATTCAATTCTGAAGGTCTACATAACTCTGCAAACACACAACATCACAGGCATCTGGATCCAAGGTAGTAGTGAAACAACAGGCAAGGTTTATGCACGGAGATACCTATAGACAGGGCTTAAAAAATCCGCTCATCATCTTGTTTGTGACAAGTGAACGGCAGAGCTGGACGAGTAGCAGGTTTACAGGTAACAGGTTTACATTCAAGCGATCAGGCATCTCTAGAGATGCCCAATCGCTTGTATTAGCTGCGGTTGCCAGTCCCAAGATCCGCTGTGCCCAGTGCGGCCAGGACCGGCACGGCTGCTCTGTGACAGGAGAAAAAAGGGAGATCAGTACACGATCTCCCCTCTGATCTCCGAATGCAGGAAGTGATGTATATTACATCACCTCCGCATTCAGCTGTCATTCTCCGGCTTCAGAAGCTGATGAAGTAGATCTCTGCTTCATCAGCTTCTCTGGGGGTCCCTAGGTGACATTAGGTGTCTTGGAGACCCCTGATGTCTCCATAAAGAGGACCTGTCATGTAAATTGACTATCACATAGGGGGCTTCTTAATCCCCTATGTGATAGCAATACAGTTAAGTGTAATTAAAAAAAAATTAAAGAAGCATAAAAAAATTTTTTTTTTTTTTTTTTTTTAAGTCCTCCGCCTTACCAGTTTGTCTTGAATTGTATCTGTAATGTCTTCCTTATATTGTAGAGTGTTGAGCAAACTGTTGACACCATATAATCCTGTATAATAATAATAATCATTCCAATGCATGCGCTAAAATGTGAACATGGCCTAAGAATATCCAGATTCTAGTGTCATCTAATCCTGACACCTAA